AGGGGAGACCTCGTTGCAGTCTGCAACTTCCTTGTGGGTGGAAGAGGAGGGGCAGGCACTGATCTCTTCTCTCTGGTGAACAGTGACAGGACCCGAGCGACTGGCATGAAGTTGTCAGGAGATGCTTAGGTTAGACAATAGGAAAAGGTTCTTCACTCAGAGCGTGATTGCGCACTGGAACCGGCTCCCCAGGGGAGCAGTCACAGCACCAAGCCTGACAGAGTTCAGGAAGCATTTGGATGACACTCCAAGGCACATGGTGTGACTCTTGGGGTGTTCTGTATAGGGCCAGGAGTTGGACTTGATGATCCTTGTGGATCCCTTCCAATTCAGTATATTCTCTGATTCTGTGGTTTTCTGAATATAGGAACTCACTGATGAAGATGAGACGTTTTCTTGCCACAATACTTTGAAATATTACCCTGTGATTTTTCCTGTGCAAAAAAGGAGCTACAGCTTTTAAAAGCTTCTTCAAGGTTCCTACTAAGTATGATTCCATTCACACACAGACCTCCTGAGTTTTTTTTAAATTATGGAACTGAAAATTAAAAAAAATAATGGGATAATTCTCAGATACTCTTTTTGTCTGAAAGCAACTGCACTTCCACCAAGGAAGGGACAGAACACGAATTTAAACAGTTTTAGAAGATATCAGATTAGGAGGGGATGGTGTCAAAGTTAATCAGCTGGAAATCAGTGTTTAAGAAATTCTTCCTCCCCTGAACCATCAGCAAAGAAGATAAGGTGAGGGTAGACCTAGTTTCAGGCAATTTATAGGAATGCTTGAGTACCCTGACCCTCACAATTTTAGCACTGAATTGTAAATTGTATATCGAACCACTTGAGTGGAACCCAGAATTTTGAACTTGTGAATAACCTACTATAAAAATACCCTTTGCAATAGTGCCCTGAAATGAAATACACCGATGTGATTCAGGAAACACAGCCAAGATAAATGCTTTGGGATATTTTCAGACTAGTTGTTTTATGCATATTCCTGAACTGCAGAGATTATGTAACTTCAGTTTAAGCTCTATGAATATGAGACAGTCTGGGGACATTTTTTGTAGAGTTTAGGCTGCAACATAAGTTCTTGAAGGTGAAGGATAAGACTGTGTGCTTAGGGTAGACTGTGCTTTCAGACTTTCACAACAGGCAGTCTGACTTTATCACAAAAAAAGCACTCTGAGAATGGTCTACAAGGTGAGGAAACCAACCAGAACTGGGTGGCATCACCCAGGAGATGTTGCAGACCAGGTTTTACACTGCATCTTCCCTTGAGCCAGAGGCGAAGGGTAAAAATGTTTGCGTGGAATAGCGTGGCTTGGTGGTCATCTGGTGTCCAGCCAAGGTCAGTCCCCTACTGTGTGGCCTTGTCCTCACGGAGGATGTGCACTATTTATTCAGCTGCTTGGCAGAAGTATCTTTTGGGGTTCTTTGCACCCATGAAAAGGAAGACAAGAAACTTAGAAATGGCCATGGCTGTCAACTGCTACTGTTTTCTTTTTAACATCATGAATGACCTAAATATGAGGCAAGATTCCTGCAGAAAAATGTTCTCACTACTATGCACGGAGAATATGCAGATAACTTGTTTCTTTGGTGTATACACAAAGCTGTAAGAAATCAGAGGCGATTTCTGAACCACGATCTCATTCTTAGACTGGGAAACCAAAGTGTCAGAACAAATATATTTAAGGAATTCAAAGAATCTATTCTTTAGGTGAATGCTAACAAGAAGCCATTTTCATCATGATTAAAATTTTTCTAATAGCATTATTCCATGAGCCAGAAATGCCTTTTTTTTTTGAAAAGCATAAACTAAAGTTATTAGGATAGAATGTGATCATAAGTAGCTTTCATTAGCATTTGGTAAAGAAGGTTTTGTGCCATGCTTGCTTGAGAGCTGAAATGTTATCCCAATAAAGGTCAACTAGAGAATTTCTGAGGGTGAAAGGCTGAATTGAGCAGTGCATCTAATACAGAGATGTGGAGTCTATCACAAGCCACAGTAGTGGAGTAATCTCAAAAGGACTAAATGGTTAGTCATCCATCAGTCCTGGAGCATTTCATTGTAACCAAATTACAATTTACAAAACAAGTGAAAATAAGATTAATAATAAATATCATGCACTTTAGTTCTATGAGGAAAACTGTGTAAAATATCAATTAATTTCAGTGCCAGTCCTGACCTGAATCAATGAATATATATATTTTACAGTGTCAGACTTGTGTAACTGTCATTAAAATTAGATAATGTTAGGTTCTGAGAAGGAAACCATTGATTTTTAGCAAGGCCAGATGCTCCAAAGTGAATAGTCAGTTTGGGGAAGAGTGACTGCAGTGAAAGCTTACAGATTTAGCTCAGAAAGTTCTAAGATTTCAGCTGTCATGTGCAGAAATAGAGTTTGGAAAGCAGTGAAGAGTTGTTTCAGTGTATTAAGCCTGTGATTTGGAAATATAAAATATTTACTGCAAGCATTGCAGAGATGAAAAGCCTCTCTGTAGGGGCTTCTGCAAACATTTGTTTAATTTAGAAAAGATTACATTATTTTGATCATAACATTGACAATCTGGAAAATAAATTATGACCTTCAAACCACATCCTAACAAAGACTGCTACAGAAGTTCAAAGGCAAAAACATTGCTGGATTTATAACCGAATGATTATTTAAAAGATGGAAAGAAAATGCCTTTCTATTTCAATGACCTTACACAGATTGTCTCAGTCAAAACCCATGAAAAATACTCAGTAATGGAAGTGTCATTATATGTGCTGAGAATCCCAGAAAATTCTTCTGGCAACAGGATTTATTCATTCATTTACTTCCCAGAAATCAACTTTACAGACACTAAATAAACCACCTATTACAAAATTTACCAAAACACTAATAAAATCCTTCCCAGTGATGTTTTTGACCTTTGAGTTGATTGAGAGAAAGAATAAATATCTTGGGAGAGGAAAAGAGGAAGAATGATTTCATATATCCAACTGTGCTCAGAATTTACCTTCGTCTCGAAACTGCTCTTTTCAAAATGGAAAGGAAATGAATACCACTAAATTAATTTATTGGAATTTACAGTTATTTTCTTTATTTTACAAGTCCAGCTAGTTTTAGGGAAGATACTTGATAAAGAATCCCTAAATTTTCAGATGTAGCAAGACAGAGATTTCTGCACTATGGAGATGACAAATGGCAGAATCATAGAATCTACTGGGTTGGAAAAGACCTTCGAGATCAAGTCCAACCCTTCATCCAACACTGTTGTGGTTACTAGACCATGGTACTCAGTGCCACATCCAGCCTCATCTTAAAAACCTCTAGGGACAGTCAATCCACCACCTCCCTGGATAGCCCATTCCAATGTCTGATTACTCTCTCTGTAAAAAATTTCTTCCTAATACCCAACCTAAACCTCCCCTGGCAGAGCCTAAGATTGTGCCCTCTTGTCTGACTTCTGGTTGCCTGGAGAAGAGACTGACACCCACTTGGCTACAACCTCCTTTTGGGTAGTTGTAGAGAGCGATGAGGTCACCCCTGAGCCTCCTCTTCTCCAGGCTAAGCAACCCCAGCTCCCTCAGCCTCTCCTCACAGGACTTGTGCTCCAGTCCCTTCACCAGCCTAGTTACTCTTCTCTGGACCTGCTCCAGCACCTCAATATCCTTCCTGAACTGAGGGGCCCAGAACTGGACACAATACTCCAGGTGTGGCCTCACCAATGCAGAGTACAGGGGAAGGATCACTTCCCTGCTCCTGCTGGCCACACTGTTCCTGATCCAAGCTAGGATGCCATTGGCCTTCTTGGCCACCTGGGCACACTGCTGGCTCATGTTCAGCTTCCTGTCGATCCAAATTCCTAGGTCCCTTTCCACCTGGCTGCTCTCCAGCCACTCTGTGCCCAGCCTGTAGCGCTGCAAGGGTTGTTGTGGCCAAAGTGCAGGACCCGGTACTTGGCCTTGTTGAACTTCATCCCACTGGAATCAGACCATCTCTCCAGCTTGTCCGGGTCCCTCTGAAGAGCCCTCCTGCCTTCCAACAGGTCAACATGCCCCCTCCGAAACTTGGTATTATCTGCAAATATGGTGATGGTACACTCAATCCTCTCATCCAGATCATCAGTAAAGATATTAAAAAGGACTGGGCCCAGCGCTGATCCCTGGGGGACACCACTGGTGACCGGCTGCCAGCTGGATGTAGCCCCGTTCACCAGCACTCTCTGGGCCCGGCCCTCCAGCCAGTTCCTGACCCAGCACAGAGTGCCCCTGTCCAAGCCATGGGTATAGAAGGCAGTATAGTCAGGTCTGTGATGTTGCGCACCTTCAGCAGGTGTGCCAGGAGAATGGCTTCCTGGCTCCTGTGAACCTGTATCCCTTTTTGACCCCAACCAAATGGCATAGATTAAACCCGTGGGTACTTTTGATGAATAGTGTCAGATTTTATTGGTTTTTGTTGAAGCTGGATTTGCTATATTTGAACCTAAGTTATGAAATACAGTACTACTATGTATGAGAAGGGCACAAGCTGACCACCCTGCATTAATCTGTGAGAGCTCCCAAGCACTGCCACCTTCATACCTGCTTTCTAGCAGGAAATGTGGTGGTAGTCATCACTCTGAAATGTTGATTTCTGTCCAGTTGGCCAGACTGGAGTGTTTTAATTAAGTGAAATGATATGTTATGGACAATGATCATTATGAATTCCATTCCCTTTCTGGTACATTGCTTTCTGAATGCTGACACTGATTTTCAGAGAATGTTTTTTTGGGGTCATTTCCACAGCTGATCTCAGTCAACAGCTCCTTGAAGTTCATGATGATAAGTACATATATATATCAGCTAAGGATCCCAACTTAGGATTTCTTTAGATATACATAATACTGTTAACTCATTTTTCACTTGGTACCACATGGGCTCAACCTTTCCCAAAGAGATGTTTCTGGAATGTGTTTTACAGTTATTTATACCCCTCTCTTCTGTTTTGTGTTTTTTTTCCCCCTAGGCTTTTGAAAAAGGAAGAAAATTTTATTTTTATCCCTCGTTCCCGTGAAGAGCTTCCAGAAAACTTTCCAAAGGAAATTCCTGGGATCTGTTACTTTCTTGAGGTCAGAAGTGGTCAGAAGCCGCCAAAACCCTCCATCACATCTGCCAGAGTGAGAAAGGTTTCTTACAACATTGGCACCATGTTCCTCCGGGAGACTAGCCTATGAGGCCTGCTGCAGATCAAAGACTCGTCAAAAAAGCACAAGCCCAGAACTGGGTCATGACAGGGGAGTTGGAAGTTCTTTGTATGTCTCTGCCTTGTTCTGAACAGGCAGTAAAAGCTCCATGTAATGTCAGGCAATAATCATTTTAAAAGGTGGGTGACTGCTGTCAGTAAATAAAGTGGAGATAGGAAAAAAAAATATTAAGCAATTTATTTCCACTTCCAGAGGAATTTCTTTCGTAAACTTCAGTCTGGCCCCTCTATGGCAAACAAAACGAAACAACACCCCAACTCTCAAATTAGAGGTTGGTTTTGTTTTGTGCAGAAAGGATGGTGGTTCTCTGTAGATTTGCACCAGCTAAGCAGAATTGAGAGTCAGTTCTGATTATGCATTCCTACATTTAATGTGTTCTTCAGTAAGGTAATGATGTTTTTTAACTTTATGAACAAGCATTTCATACATATACTGTAGAGCTGTTGTAACCTTCCTGGCAGGAGGAATTATAATTTAATACAAATATTGTAGGAATTTTACCTATTTTTATACATATTTCACTTTCTGGATAATTACATTCCACATACTGTAAGCTGAGTGAGCTTAGATAGCTTTTCAGAAGAAGTTGCTGTATATTTCATACATTTTACCTATCAAATGTATTATTATACTAGTAGGAAGAAGGCATTTCTTGACTTTTTTTGGCAACAAAAATACCAATATTTTACAGGAAAAAGACCCCACTTTGGTAAATCTCTTTACCTGATGTTTATGCTAAAGCTTTAGATGAGCATTGTCTTCTTATATAAAATAGTGTTCAGTATTTGTCCTACAGTGCTGTATGTCTAGTCCTTCCAGAACAATGCAAAGTGCAGAAGATCAATGTGTAGACAAACAGATAAGTTCTCTTCAGTGGGGTTTGTTTGCCTTCTAAATTATCAGGCAGACTGAATTTTGGTAGAAGCCCTGAACTTTTTAAAAAAATTTGGTCCTGTGAAAACTTATTCTGAGGAATTCCAGCAGACACTGGAAGCTTTCTGGATACCAGTTTTCCATATTTTTTTATTTGGACTTGTGCTCCTAGTCCAGATTGTATATTCCAAATCCAATCTGTTAATAATGATTGCTCATACGGAAATTTCCTCTGTTGCTGGATTGGCTTGAAGGTCTCCTGCTTTATCTAATGAAGGTCAAAAAACTACCAAAAAGAGGAAGGCAGTACTTTCCCTGGTTATTGGAAATGGCTGTTCAAGATTTAGATTAGTCTAGGTCAATTGAAAAAAAGAAAAAAAAAGTCCAGTTCTTTCCTGTTATAAATTAATATAGTATTATTGTCTTCAATTAATCCAGTGGAAGCAAGATGTGTATCTGTCCCCTAATAGGCACATTTTTCAGCATTGCTTATTTCTCAGGTTTTCCTTTTCAAAATAATGGCAGACAGTTTTCCTCTGTAGATGTACTGCCTTTGGGGTTGTACTGATGTGGGCTGTTGTCCTGGACTTGCATATTGTTAGTTAAAACTTGTGCAGTGATTTAAAGTGGCTTTGCTTTACATGAGCATTAATCAAAACTCACTGGCATCAAAGGTAAGACTCAGCAGCACTAGGAGGCATGAGAAACTTTGCATTTATCTAATCCAGACCAGAAGTGAGTTTGCTTATCGATTTGGCAGCCATAATGTGAGACACGTTATGAAAATAAGTAAATAACTTTCACCATATGTCCAGATCATCCAGTTAGATCTTTCTGTCTTGAACGTGTACAGACTTCAGCATATCAAGGACATCTGAACTTATTATGCAGGAGTGGGGTTTTTATTGCCTGAGGAGGGTAGGTGCATGGGAATTAGCCCAGAAATTTCCTTGAATTGAAATTCATTCACTTTCTAGAGCAACACTGATATTGGAACATTAATATTAGACCATCCTTGGGATTGGAGGAGTTAATCTTTTATCTCCCTTGATAAACAGTATCTGCAGTTCTATGGCCTGTCTGAAAAATGACTTATAAAAACTGTTCAAACTTGAGGTTACAGAATTTCCACCCAAACTACAGATCTTACAATTTTCTGCCCAGGATGACAAGTTTTAGCCTATTAGTTTGCACAGACACAGGATGTAGCATGCATTTTTTTCCCTGGGAACACCAGTGAGACATGTAAGAATCATAAAAGGATCAAAGTTCATGTTTCACCAGTGGAAGAAGAACGCCACTTCCCAGCTAATAAATCTGTGGTTTTGATGTTTATATCTAGTTCCCTAGAGTGAAGATTTTTCAAATAACCATCATTAGATTGAGATTTCATTCTGACTTCACTGGCACATCCTTATTGTTCAGTAGGTGCTGATATCAGAGTGCCAATCTCTCTGGCCAAGATCTTTTTCTCTTCTCACCACCCATAGTCCTGTATGATGAGAACAAACATAGAGGTTCAGACCAAAAGCTTGTGGCTCAACTTGTCTCAGACAGTTGCCAGTAGGAAATGCCTTAGGTTAATTCTGTAGCTGATCTTGTTTGAGGGAAACATTTTCATAGGAAATGGTGGATAAATGCTCATTCTACTAGCAAATTGGAGAAACCGTCTAAAACAGTTGTGTCACCATCCTCATCCTCTCAGATACTCTTTATTGTATAAGGAAATTTATAGTCACAAAGATGTATGGTGTCAGCATCACCATGGAGACAATGACAGTGTTTGCAAATAAATCACCTAACTCCCCAAATTAGAGCAGACTTACTGTGTAAGAATATACTGTCTCTGCTTTTTATAAGCTTGTGTAAAGGTAGCATACCTAGAACTTCAGCACTGATGCTAAGTATAATGTTATTGTTTCTGTGTTATGACAAGGGAAGTTAATAAAAAAATTTGGGCTATCTAGGGACATTTTTCTATGTAACTGTGAGAAAAGTGTAAAACAAATTCTCAGCACTTTTTAACTTTGTAGTTGCATCAGCTGCCTTGAATTTCAGGTTGCAAGTTTTTTTTTGTTGGACACCTTTGTGAAGTTAAATGAAATTCATTATCAAGAGTGATGCTGTGATGCCAAATAGGTGGTAGTCAGACTCAACAACGCTTACTTTTAGTGACAGGGAAAATGTTCTCATTGGCCTGGCATTGTCTTCATAAATAAAAAAGTTCTCAGAATGTTTTACCTTGGAATGATGATGAGGAGAGGTTAGAGGAGCTAAAATGGATGCAGAAATCATATACTGTAGTTGAAATTTTCTTTCAATACTTTCCTTGCTATGAAACAGATGGTCTTTTGTTCCTCTGAGTAAGAATGTACGTGCTTGTGTTTCTTCACATAGCTACAAGTAGCCACATCTGCTGTCTTGAGTTCTGTGTGGGACAAATCCACCCCTCTGAAGAGAGAGGGAGGAGATCTACTACATAGTGTCCGAACAAGGCAAAGGAAAGCTGACTGGGCTCATCGGTCTCTTGGCTACAAACCTGTTCTGTGCATCTTCCCCCTGCTCCAGTCTCAGAGTGATGAGAGACCACGAACTGATCACAGAGGCAGATCCAGTGGTCTTTTTTTTGTGTACAAAATTCATGAGGCCCAAGTAAACAGACTCAACAGTCATTCCTGCAGAGCACTTTTTACAGATCTTGTGTCAGATTTTTCCATCTGGTTGAAGCTCCCCATCGCACAGGCTTTTCTGTGATGCAGTGCATAGAGGTCAGGAACTCAGAGCAAGAAGGAAATAGTGATGGAAGTGGTAGAGTGGTGGATAACTTTTGTTCTGCATCACTCTGGTAATATTTGCCATTCAAAGACAAAAGCCCCTGCATGGGAGAATTGCTACTAAACCAGGACTCTCCAAGTGTGGTTTTCTTGCAGGATCCCAAAGGATATTTCTTTTTTTAATTCCAGAGAGCCAATAGTCATTAACTGAGATTGTGGTTTTGGCTTCACTGCTCATTCCCACTTCCAGTTTCAGATCCGAGTCTGTTTAGAAAGACATTTTGAAGCCTGGAAGCATGCCTCTGCAAACAGAAAACCAAAGCTTTTAAAACCTGGGAAATCTTGTATGGGAATTGCCTGTTCTGAAGAAATCCTTGTGGTTGAGTCATTAACAGGTCACACTGCAGTTCATGTATACATATACCATTTTACAATGCTATCTCTTCTTGTGCTTATGGTGCTCCCCACCAAGTGTAACAGCAGGATCAGGTGTATTTAACAGCCCTCTTAATTTTTTTCCTATATAAACCAAGCAGTGCAAAATCATGACATGTTGCATGTATTTAGAAGTATCAGCACTGCACTGTGGCTTAAACTCTGATAAGCAATTTCACACTGTATATTTCTTTTTCTGAAGAGATCCTTCTCCCCAGCCATTTAAAAATGAAGGGAAAAGATACCAACAAAACTGCTGTGTTGAATTGGAAATGAGTCTGAAACCACCATCAGTTGTTTGGGCAAGTTTAACTGCTGGACGGCTTTCAGATTCTTCAGCTGCCACAAGCTGCCACACTTGCATATTCTTGCAGACCATCCTGCCAAGAAATCTGTAACCCAACAGCAGCATTGCAAACTTAAGACATTTTCTGGGTTTTCCTCTTCAGGTCTCAGGCCACTACTTCACCTCTGCTGAGTTCTCAGAGCTCACTGAGAAGAGCGAATTCCCTGTCCTAATGCAGTCCCAGAGCTTCTGGCTTCATTTTTGGGTTCTGGGGATTTTTTGCAAAATTTTACATGCGTAGCATTGGAAATAGCAATATGCTTAAATTAGCAACAAAACAAGAAGCTTAAAAAAGCTTGTCAAACTCAGAAAAAGTTGGTTCCCTTCCCTCAAGGTAATACATTATTTATAGCACTGTGCTAGGATTGAGGGTGCCAGTGACAGTAGAGGCTGTGGATGAATTGAAGATGCTGAGTGTGCAGGAGACTCAACAGGCAGGAGTTAATTGGCTTCTGCTACTGTTCATAATTCCATCATCTTGCGTGCTCTGTTCTGCTCTTGATCAGGCTTCTGCTATTCAAAAGACCTCCACTTTCCTTCCCTTAATACACTGTATGTGATATAGATAGTGAATAATTTCTATTATTGTTCTTATTGGCATATATTGTTGACATGGCTGCTTATATCTAAAGAATAACTGGGGTTAAGGGGCTGATCTTTCTCTTCCTTTCAGCAAAGACAAAACTGTTAAAATGACACGGCAGGCACTCACATCACTAGAGAGGGAGAAGACTGCAGTGCAAATTGTCACTGGTGGATTTGGCTGAAGTCAGTGCATTAACAGTCCATGGCATGTTTTTAGCATGTTTTATCTGTGCAGATAGGAGTTACTCCTTAACAACATTACTAATTTGCAATGCATGAGCAGGCTTACAACAAAAATCTGTAAACTGTTTAACCTCATAATCAGGATTGATCTTTCATGGCTTGGCTGTTAATCATGCATGAAAGCAAGAAAAACAGTGAAACTGAGGAAGGCAACAATTCAGTCACAGGCAACAGGTCATTCACCTCTGCACATGCTTTCTTGTTCCTGTGACTTAGAAAGGTTGACCTCCAGTTATCTGTGGTCCAGGTTAGTATCTCTGTGTCACTATGACAACGAAATGGCCTATGAAAACCAGCATGGAGCGTTTCAGTCTGCTTCCCCCTGGGCTGGGATTCACATTAGAGAGGCCAATACAGCATGTGATGTAAAGTGGCAACTATGCTGGCAGCCTTAGCAAAAGGATCAGTGGAGGCAGATGTTAAACCAGGTGTTTGCTCCGGGAACTTTAGTTTCCAAGGTAGAGTAAAACAGAACATGTTTTATTTTGGACAAAAAGATAAGACAGAATTTCAGAGAAACAAGTGTTTACCAGGGAGGCAGCGGATTTAAAGTGAATCAAGAGCAACACACTGGCTACCTTGGTGGCAGCAGTGCCTGCAGCTCTCTGGCCCGCTTTGGTTCTCCAAGAATCAAGTTTCCTCTGAAGACTGGAGGACAGGTAAATGTTTCAGGCACTTGTCCCCTCTACTCTAGATACAGCATGAGGCTGCCTAAATCCTTGAATGTGCTTAACTTTCTCAGTGACCACAGATGCAAATCTAGACTAGAAATCTGGTTTTTTTTTGAGAATGGCCAAGATAAATGAGATTGATCCCACTGATTTACATTCTTTTCAGCCCAGGTGCTGTTTCTCAGATCTTCTAGTCTTACTGCTTTCCAGCATTTTGCATTGGCCAAAATAAATCGAATCAAATTAAGTGTCAGAGGGATAGATAAGGATATTCCAGGATAAATAAAGATTTGATATGGTAGCCATAGTGACTGTCAAGAACACGTGCTACTGCAGTTCTGCAAACCTCTACTCCTCGTATCTGAAGCCTTCACAGATGAGGCTGGCACTGCCAATCACCACTCCTGGATGCCATTAAGACTGTGATTTAGAAAAGCTTTTCAGGTCTGAGCTCTTAGCCCAATTATGCAAAACCTCTGTGCCAAGTTCACCTGAAGTGTATGCTAGAATGCCTGTATAAACCCTTTTAGTTGTTCTGTAATAAAGATGGTGATAACGTAAATTGTAAAGAGCAGAGACAGAGTTGCCAGGTTATCAATACCATACATTTTTTGTGCTTTTGTGAATTTGTAGGCCCAGAATTAACTTTCCATGAGTAGAAGGTCTCACATTGAGCTACTTGTTTTCTAGGTATTCCTTAGCAATACTCTCTAATGACTACACTTAAAGCAATAAATAAAGCCATGCTAATCTCTTCTGTGTAGACTCCTGTACACGTATCACCTTAAAAAACCACTTTCTAGCAGAACATTAAGTGGCAGAATAATGCCCTGGCATTTGTTTGTCCTTCCATCCTTTTCCTCACAGAAGAAGAGCATGTAGTGGAATCATTTGATTTTATGAGGTGGTGTCTTTTTGTTAGTTTTCTAAAAATATATGTTGCTATTTACTTAAATAAGGAAGAGCAAAATCAGAACTACAGATCAGAATTAGAAAAGAGTTTTGGTTGTAAACAGAGTATTTTAAAAGGCTGCCCACTGAGTAAGACTGTTCTCACATCCTAGAAAAAAGAGTACTGGTAAGAGATGTAAGATATTCCCAGATATAAATATGAACAATGAAAAAGGCAGGTATATATAATGGATGACTTCTGCTTTATGCACAACAGTAAACAGATGCTAAAACTGATTAATACCCAGAGAGGGCAAATACTGTTTACTCAATTCTGGCATTTGTTTATTGCCAGTACTCCTCTAAGGTGTTATTTTTTCCTTCCCTAAAGAGATTGGAACATACTGTTAAATCAATATCAGAGCTTCTGAACTTATTGCAAAAGAGCAAGGTTAGAAGTGAATAACCATCAAGAAGAGATTTTTTCAGAAGTGAGCCATTGCATCACAGAACAGATCATAAGGAAAAGAGAAAAAGAGTTACTGACAGGTATATTTATTTTAGAAGTTTCTATGGCACTTCTGGTTGATTGAAATCATTCTGAAACTGTATACTCAAAGCATGGCTGCCCAGTTCAGATTATTTGTATTTGCGAAGAAGAAGAAGGTAAAGTTTTTGAAGTCACACAAGGGACTTACTTCTCAATCTCATTTTCTCTGCTTAAATGCAACTTCTTTCTGAAGGTTGAAGGAAACTTTGCTGAGTGATCCTGAGGTTCTGAATGCCTAAATAAGTTTTGGAAATGTGGGTTATAAATCTGTATCATTTATGTTTCTTTGAAATGCTGTTCATGATAATGTATAAAAGCAAATTCTAAAGTATCCAACCAGCAGCAAAGGTGCATTTTTCTAGTACTAACCTGTGCTGAATGAGGAAATGTGGATTTTTTCTAATCTATGCAGTTTTTTGTACCTTTTTTCAAAGTGATGCTCCCAGATGAGTTGCTGTGAGTGTATGAATGTTCTGATTTTCAGTGGGGATGGGGCATGTTACCCCCATTTATAATGTGATGAGGGATTGTAAGGGAGAAAGCACTGTTAAGCCAATTCCATCGAATTCAACTCATCTATTGAGGGAGTGTCAGGTGAGTGTAAGTGATTCTCATTACATCTCTAAGTTAAGTCCTATGTGCTTGTCAGTGTTTAAACATGTAAGCATTCCTCTCTGGAAACTTGTCGTAGGTCCTGCAAGTGGATAGGAAAGAATCTTACTGAGAGAAAGCGTCTGAAGAAAGCAAAGTATGTGTGTAGGAGAGAGAAGTTGTGCATAGAGGTGCTGGTAATGTTAACTTTCATCTATCTGGAAGCTGGATGACCCAGAGATTATTCATACATAATGGAAGAAAGTACTGTACATAATGCGATGAACTCTCAAGGCATAAGGATGAATTTTAGAGGCCATAATCCTTAGATTTTTAGTGGAATTGCATGAGAAATGAACTATTTTTTTAGTTTGGGTTTGGTTTGGTTTTTTTTAAATAATAGTTGTATTTCTAATTTCATAGAAAAATTGTGGCAGAAAAAGAACGTCTAAGAAGTTTAAATGCAAAGAGCATCCTGGTTTTTTGTATGATTTGACTTTTTTGGAGGTAGGAGTAGGAATTCCTTTGTGAGTTTCAATACCGAATGCAAAACTAGATGTAAAACAGAAACCAAGAGCCATCTCTCCAAATCATCATCTGCTTGATTCCTTCTTGGCATAGTGGCAGTTAGCAAGCTACTTAAGGAATCCATCGCTCCTAGGAATGGATATCTGGTTTTTTTAACACTGAAATGGTCATTCTTTCTCACCATTTTTTCCCCCCAAAACAGTATATAGGTTGGTCTTTGTAATCACTGGGGAAAGAACAGGAGAGCAGAGGGCAAGGTGCTGGCTGAACATTCTCTCACTATGATCATATTTACTAAAGCTTCTCTCTGAGCTGTCCTAAATTGTGTTAGTTTTGTTATGCACTTGGAGTAGACAGATTCTCTGACAGGATCTTGTGTCAGGCTCTGAAACAGGCAAGTGGGAAGGACTGAGGCTGCCACTCTGTTATACTGCTCCCATATTTCTCTCTTCTGTTTGCAATTGCCATTCTGATCCTTGGACATCTGTGGTGATTTTCACAACAATCATGGTCATGGAAGCCATGGGAAACTTCTTCTTGGGAAGAATCAATATATGCAGTCCTCCACAGTGTGAAATGTCACTCTCCAGAGAAAAGGGATTAGAAATAGTATTGTCCTCAAGAGCTGAGAAAACTTGCAGAGAGACAGTTTCTATAATTACCAGGAAAACAAAACAGAGAGGCAGGGTTGTGCAGCAGGGACATCCCATCTCATACACACTGCTGTGATAATGAAATCCAAACCCTGTGGAATTGCAGGCACATTATTCTCACTTGCTTTAAAGGTCAGCTAAGAAGCTAATTTCTCAAATGGGCTCATAGCTCAGAGACAACGTAACACTAGTCATTTCTTCCAACAAATTGCAGTTGTCAGAGAAACTGAGTAGCTCATGGAGTTAAAAATAGACACTGTGAGCTTGCCAGAGAAGGATTAATTCAGTAACAAAGGTGAAGGTACATCAAAATATCGTAACGATTGGAGAAAAAGCAGCAAAAAATGCTCAACTGAAAGCAAGTTACCCGTAAAATTACGTTAAAAATAATCTGAATCACAAAGCAGAAGAATAGCAGGGTTTAGTCTTCATTCTGTTTTATTCACCTTCTAGATCCACCCTGCAGTTTCTGCTTTATCAGCTAATCAGTTTGGCTACAGTCCTTTCCAAGTCATGTACCTCAAGAAAGGCACGATAAAGACATTATTTGAATACTGAAGAGTATTTGGCTTGACATTTCTATCTTCTTTGCAAGAAGGAGGGGAAAATAATTTATTGCTAAATGTATTCAACTGAAAAATAAAAACTAAAATCCCCAAATCCAAATCTAGTAACAGAGCTACAGAGAAAGCAAGTTTCCAAACCTTGGTATATCTTTACTAAAAAGTGGGTAATTATTTTCTATTGCCTCAAACATTTGCATTTTAAAGAATTATGTTTTGTGCCATGATTTTGAAAATTCATATTGCTATATTGCTGCTTTCTTGAATTTAACAAACTAAACAAAACAAACCAGTTCTTCATTCTTCTTCAGTTACTTATTTTCCATAGCAGAGCAATTCCACAGTTCTGCATATGACCCTGAAGTTGCAGCAGTGCACTGCAGATAGGAAATCTAAGCCTGTGGTGAAGGTGAAAAGTTCTGCAATGTATAGGTTGGGTCTCAGCTGAAGACAAGGCTGGTACTAGTTTCATGCCGTTTCTACTATGACTTAAGTAATTCTTTTTACTTATGTATTCAGAAGCTATCTGAATTCAGACCTATATATAGGTCAGGATATATAGCTCAGGAATAATATTCACCACTTTCTTTAGAAATTCTTTCTGTAGCGTGTGTCTTTTCTGCACACCTGTTATAAAACCTCTGCATTTCAGATCTGAAGCATTGACAAGTGTAGGGTATAAATAATAAATTATGCCAGCAAATCAAATCACTGTGAAACATATTTGCAAAGTATTTATGCTCATTCTCTTTTAGATATCTTATAAGCTAGATTCCTTTCTCCAAATTCTGTTGTCGTGGAAGCCTTTGGTCATCACTGTAAGAGAGGTCAAGACTAATCTTGGTTTTGGGATTTAAATAACATCTACACGATTTATCTGGCATTCACTGTGTGCCATTATTATCATGGCATTAAGGTTCAGTGGTGAAACAGAAATGTCAGGATAAGCAGCACCAGCAGTTATCTGCATTGCACATCCTACGCATTATGTACACATTCCATGGCATACTTTTATTTTATAAAACATGATATGAATGCTTAAATATGTAGAAAAAAATAGTTAGGAATAAATAATACAAAATATATGAACATTCCCTGATAGCTATCTTGGGATATGGATATGTTATCATCTACCCTTGGGATTGCTCTGAACAAATCATGTATCTTTGGCACCTATCCTTGAGTAAAAGGCGTGGCCATCATCATCCCTTTAGTTGTTAAATTTCAGTTACTTCAGAGCCCAGAGATTAATGACACAAGTATTTTTCAGCCAAGCATTTTAAGAGAATAGTAACTGCCTGGGGATTTTTTCTGAATATGGTGGGCTCCACTTTTAGGACTGACTTTAAATTCCCTCTTGATTTGATATTAACCTTTCCCAGTTCACGAAAATTCTACTAAAATTCTTCTTTGCAGGATCCCGTAGTGTTTTGAGGAGGCTATGTATATTCTGTTTGTGCAATTCACTGGTGTAACATATCAATATTAAGGCATTTTCAGATCACTATCCTGGAGAGTCCAACCAATGTTTCACAGCCACATATAATTCTCTAATTCTTTTTACCACTTTGCTCTGCCTCTATTGCCAACTTTAAAGATGGAACTGAATGCTACTAAAAATTATCTGGTGGTTCATATTTATATATTTCAGTGGGATAAATTCATGATAAGGAGATACTTTTGCAAAACAAGCGAGTATTATTGGCATGAACTACACAGACTAGGCTCATAAAGTCATAGTTCAGTCTCTTCCCAAAGCCTTTGAGAGCGAAGTGAACTTTGCATGCAATATTTCACCTAGAGGAACTGATAACAAATTTGCAGATTTCTGTCAGTGTGATCCTGACTCTCCCATCTAATCAGAAGTCATGAAATTCATGAAACCAAAAATGGAAAATCGTATACTTCTGATACTTGTTTAAACACTTTTTCCGAGAGTCATCTGTAATTCTGAAATTGGTGATTTAAGTGGCGATTCATTCAGACACATCTTCATTTCCTCTGTAGTTAATTCTAGAAAAAAATTAACTTTGATGCCTTAGAGTTGTATCTTTCAACTTCTCCCTTTAATTTCAGTGTTGCCAAAGTAATATCTGAGGGCTAATTCATGTCTAAGGTGGTCAAAACCATCTATAATAATAGAGATATATGTGTGAAGATAGCCTGGATTGTTGTAGGAAGATGGATATTCACCTGAGTTCATGATGCTCAGTTTTAGGAGTGGGAATTTTAGGAAGAGTTATGAGCTGCACATTGTTGGTGCGTCACTTACTGAGAGCAGACCAAAGGACAGAAGTGCAGTGGAGTAAAGTTTTAGTCTCAGCTTTGAGTGCTGAGAATTTCTGCTTGTCTTGTTTCAAACTTCCCTGTTTTGGAAGCTGGATAAAAATATTTGGTAGTCCTAGAATGTGAAGATTGACCACCTCAAAGTCTGCACTCCTGTGAAACAGACAAATCTCCCCTCAGTGCAAATGCTTTTTGTGTAATTCTGTAATACTGGTTTAGTGTTGTCTTATAAAGCTTCTCTGAAGAGACTTGTACTAGCATTCTGCACTAACAAGATTACAACCTTGCACTATCAACAACGGATGCTTAGCATTAAAATAATCTTAGATGCCATTAAAGACTGCTAAAGCTCTATCAGGGTTTAGAGCACTGTGACATTTGTGAACCTAAGCTGTTTGTATAAAATTTCTTACAGGCAAAGGATAATCTAATTAATGACAGTACTTACATTTTAGTAAAACACAGAGGAGATAAGGTGGTGTCCCTAGACATTTCTGTCAACTTAGTGGTTAAGAGATTAATTTTAGTACTCTGTAAAGCTGAACATTATTTTAAAACATCAGCCTGCAATCTACTGGAAAGGGATGTGGCAAGTTAGATGATTTTAGGTTTTGCTGTCAGATGGCATGAACAGAAAAGCTCAGAAAGCATATAAGCCAAGATCTTCCCACACTGAAACCAAGGGAGTAATTGCAAAATTGAGTCTGGTTATTTGTCCTGTAACTAGCTGTTCCACAAAGGAATCCACCTGCCAATGGAAGCAGAGTCCACACAAATTATCACATGCTGCATTTCGGGTTTTTTACTGGGAGTTGTTTGGCAGACTTAGTGGTCTGGAAGTTCCAGCAAGTACCTCTGGTTGAAAGTTTCTATTTCAGTTATTATTGCTTCCCCAGAGCAACCAAAGACTTACCTACTTGAAATAAAAAAAAAAAACAACCAAACAAAAACACGAAAACACAAAAAAAACAAACAAAAAGCAGTGAAGTTTGATTCTGTCATTTGTGTCTTTGACTGTGAGCAGTTGAAGTGCATGATGTATGTACCAACCAGGCCTGTGCTGTGTCATTGAGCAGGTTATTCAAGGCCACAGCAGCAGTATAACACAGCTGAATTCAGTATTAATCCCTCCATGGTAACACGAGTCTATGTAAAAAATTGATGTGCCATATGTGTAGGCCATGGGAAAATTGTGTGTGCAGTGAACTATATATGGTCTTAAAAGCTTTAACATTTGTACTGCTCTTCCTATAACAGTGTATGTCTTGATACCTGTGACCCTATGGGCTTCTGGAAAAAATGTAATCTAAAGTTTATTCTTCTTGTTTTAAAATCACTGCTTTGTGAGTTACTGTTTACACAGGTCTGCATACAGCAAGGGGTCTTTCTTCATGTGTTGCTGGGAAATAAAAAAGCAGATGCTATTTGTAAATCTTACAGGCTTATAGAGATCAGTGAATGCCTTTACTGAATCTCCTCCTGATAAGCCACTTCTTTTCTCTAGCAAATGCAAACAGTGCCAATAGTCTGGGCCTTCTTTAAAATAAACTAGTAATTTGTTAAATGGCCTTGTTCTCTTCTGCTTCTATTGATACTTCTTAATTTTATCTTTTTGCCTCCTTTTGAGTGGGCTTTGGTGATATGATTCTTCCAAAGTGTAGCTGAGGACAGACAGTTTGTCTTTTTTTACCCTTCCTTTTTCAAAGCCACTGAAGGCTTCAAACAAGAAGAAAGAACTTTACAAAACTCATGCAGGTATGTTGTTAGAAGGTAGCAGAAGGATAAAACAGCCTTCTAAGAGTACTCCAGACTATCTTTTAACAGCATGCCTGCACTGTGTTGTGACTTGTCATCTTGCTTTCATAGTGTGACCTACTATAATGGTGTTTGTTACAGTGAGGTCCTTTTAGTTTGTTCTAAAGATTTTACTTGTTTGTTACCATATTAGAAACATAATGTGCACTCTATAAGAAAAGCAATATACAATATATTCTCATCTATTTCAATGCCTCTAGTTTTAGGCTAGTATTCATATAAATGTTTATAAACAAAGTACAGGTTTTCTTGTTCTTCACAGGACCAAGCAAAGTTTTGCCTTGTCTAAATATAAACAATTGTCTAAATACTAACAGTTGCACTCTTTTCTCATGCTTCTAGTTAACCTGTGGTGGGCTCCATCCTACTGATTCCCCATTAATGCATTTGAAATGGAAAAGTAATGAGCTATTTCAGTGCATGACCTTTGCACAGTACCTGATTCATAAAGAAATAGATCCAGTATTTCATTTATGAGTTACTAGTGATCTGCAAGACAACAAAAACCCTTTGAAGTTCAGCTGAGTAACTTCTGAAGCTCTTGCATTGCTTATTCAGTTTCACAGTTTCTTGAGTCATTATAATGGATATATTTGATGAAACCTTTGCCATAGACACTGGCATCAGTCTTCATAAAATCTGTTCTAATTTCTGTTTTCCATTATATGTGGAAGTGTACTGTAATGGAGAAATTATGTGCATTAAAAAAAAAATCATACAAGTTTTCTTCAAGACAATTCTCACTTTATTTGACCTTGTCCTCTGGTAGGTAGCTCACTTTAATTATTTTTTGTCATATTAGTAACACAATATCCATAAAAACATTCTCCAGAGAAACTCCGTTGAAGAACATTTTTTTGTGGCCAGGATACCTCTATTTCACAGCTAAGTCACTGAAGAGGTGATCAAAGAAGACAGAATATTAAGACAAATTGAGAAATTTTACACACAAAAAATGTGTGTATATGGTTATAAAAGTGCTACAACAGGGAAGTTACTGAATTGGATTTTTTTCCTCATTAACATTTGCTTATACACATAAGAGCTGCTTATAAAATATTTATTTTGTCCCTCACAATCTTTCTTTTGAAGCCAGAAGAGCTTCAAAGTAAAAAAAAAATGACTTGATTACTTTGTATGAATTACTTAGTAAGTGCAATCCAGACGCCAAGTCCATCCAGATGCCAAGTCCATCCAGACTGACTTTAGTTGCCACAAAGGTGGCTAATTCACTGGAAGTCATTGACAGTTTGGCTTTGTAAGCATAGTAATGAGACACTATGAAGTGCTCCAGTTCAGTTACATTGTCAGCTGCCCAAAATACCACCCAGACTATTTATTACTTTTCTCTTGTTACTTAAAAAGGCAAATAATTAGCTTAAGTCTGTGTCTTTGCATTATTCAAGTTCTTGTTTGTGAAGACTGCATCTGGTAGTATGTTGCAGTCTTGTTTTCCCATGGTAGAGAAGATGGGTTTATCTCCTTTGTGATATCTTTTTTTTCTTTCTGGAATTTGTTGACATCTCTTCAACCATGTCATTGGCTTTGTTTGGGCTGCTCAATGCCTGGAAATCCTGGATAAAAGACCACGCTAAACACGTGCAGAACAATTCTTTATATCAGGTGATAAGTTTTGTATGGATATTTTATGTTTACTGCTAGGGGCAAATCAACTTTTTAAGTGCACTGGGCTCATCTTATGCTATAGAGCTGATGTGTGTGGGCACAACACATGTTGACACATTGCTCAGCTAGTGCAGACACATGGTCATGCACTTCAGTGGGGCAAATCTTAAGGAAAAATTTGCAGCATTTGGAATTTCAGATGTTGGCAGGAGTACATGATTTGTATCACCTACTCTCTCTCGTGTCATGAAAACTGTCTGGAAATATAAGAAAAGAGGAAGGCAAAAAAGAAACAAATGAGGTCAATTGTGAGGCAGAGCTCATTTATCAAATTTCATGTCCCACATGTGGAACTAACACCATTCAAATACAGTAGTCAACACTGATCATCCATCTCATAGGAACTGCATTTCTATTTCCATAGATAAAATTTTTACTGAGCAGCTATAATAGAATACTGTCATGAGGCAAGAGGTGACTTTTCTTTTTAGTAACAACTATGTAAAGATTGGTTGCTGAAATGGTCAATACCCAAATACCCTACTGGGACTTAGCAAGTAGGATTCTCTTTCCAACAAGGTTTTGTGGTAGGAACTTTGAATGTTCTTGTGAATCAGGACAGATCAATGGTGGTCCTAAGCCTTCACAAGTAAAGCAGATTATTGCATCACAGTCAAAACCCTGGTCAGTACTGCATGCCAGAAACCCCGTGTTCTGAACAACTGCAGGCTTCCTACCTCCTGGTAATCCTTGCAAAACAAACCATGTGGCTCCAGTTTTACCTAATATGAGGCCTTGTTTGGGCTAAGAGTCTGCAAAGAGCTCTGAAACCGTATCCTACACTCCTTGCTGTGCAAAACCACCATTGGTCTGATTTTGTAAGAGTTACATTTGCTGGGTAACGTGTAGCCTGTAAACAGAACCATAGTCCAATATGTTGATGTGTGGCGCATTCCATTTAGGGACAGGCCAGCGCTTTTCCCTGACATGCATTTGGATTGAAAGCTTAGTTACATGGGCCATTTAGGCTGCAGTTCCATGCGTGTGCTCAGGTGAACAGTGAGCAAAGGACCCAGGGGCCTCATGCAAGGCCCAGCGCAGATGCTGTGAGCCAGGGTGGGGCACTGCGGCCGTACCTCATCGGGTGGTCATAGTGGGGACTCACACGTCCAGTGTCTAATGCAGCATTCCAGATATCTAAGGACTAATTTTTCCATACATCCTACACACATGCCTATGTATTTTATGAATCAGGTCTGTGGTCAATGTCTTGAACAACTTGTTTGCTGCAGTTTCATGCGGTTATTATCTCGTTGGTTTGCAATGTAAATAATATTGTACATCTGCCACTTTATGATACAAATGCCATGTGAATTGCTTATTTTTAAAATGTTACTACTCTGTTATGGTTTATTTGCAATGCCATCTGACAGTATTGGTTTAATATACAATGTATCTGTATGGCATGAATTCAATTGCTTATATTTTGCGATGTCAAATATTTTTTTGTTTGTTTTTTAAAATGATTACATTTCATCCTATGCCCATCCATAAATGTTTCTTAAGTGGCTCATTATGTCTGAAAATATTGCTTCCTCTCCAGTAGTGCAGCCATAAAACTAGTATTCCTGATCAAAATCATCAGATATACCATCTAACAATTTCAGATTAGAAATATATGTACAAATATGTAAGCATTTATAGTTAATCAGAACATCTACTATGTCTTCTTTGCTTTATATGCAATGATACATTTTAGTCATTTTGTATACTTTTTATTTGTAATTATTTGTGATTCATACACAGTGTAAATAACATGTTTCATTATGCAAGATTTCTAGGTATTCAAGATTTTAAAAAGTTGAATTTGTATATGAAAAGAAATTGACAGTAGATTGGAATGACATAAAATAAAGTGGTGATGACTGTGTTCTATTTATACTGTTCATTTCCAAATTGTATGTTAAAGAAAACACATTTATTTGCCCTTTAATGTTCAACCACTTATTTGCAGTATATTTACATCAATAAATCATGTAAAAGCCTATTAAAAGTCATAATGCATCATTGACATTTTTTCTGTTGATGGCTTATCTATGGAGAGCAGAATTTAAATATACTAAAACCCAACTGAGTGGATACAGTCCAAAAAGTCAGTGAAGACATTTGTGGAAAAGAACCTCTATTCACTCCTAGATCTCAAACCTTTCCTTATAATCCAAATGCAAATTGATTTTCAAAAAACAAATTATTAAAACACATTAAAAGAAAGAGCTAGATGCTTAATTTCATGTATATCTCTTGATATGTAAGCTTTGGTTTTGGTGGACATTGCCATGTAGAAACCTTACTGAAATCTTTGTTCTTGACTGAACTTTCGGAATTTTGAGGCAGAGCTTCTTAAGAAACTTAACAGATTGTTGGAAAGAAAATATCTGGTTTGAGTGACCATGACAGCTGATTTCAGTGATTGTTCAGTTCTTGGTTCTGTAGAACAACAGAGCAGAACCAGATTTCAGTCCCAGAGAACAGAGTGAAAAAACAGGTGATACTGCAGTGAAATCTCAGTACGTTGCTACCAACACAAGAACAAGGGAAGTTGGCGTGCTGTAGTGTCATCAGCTGTACAAATGCCACTTGCATTTACCACTCTTTCATTCCTTCTTCATCTTTTCTGTAACCCCAACTGAGAAAATGACCCATTTTGCTCTACTTTTTTTTTTTACAGAAGACCATTAACTAGAATTGGTTGCAATATTTTTCAGTGGAATATGCTACTGGGTGAAAGTGGAATTTCAGTTAATTCAAAATGCTACTGGGGGGTTGATTTTGACACTTTTGTACCAAGTGTGTTTGGTTTTCATGTGACTAAAGGTAACATTAAGGAAAGCCTACGCTGTCCTAGAATTCCAGGGATTTCTGCCCTAGCCACAGCTGATTTTAAGCCTGGTGAACATTTTCTAAGAAAGAGATCAATAATTTGCCTATTCCTGTCTTCAATTGTTCCAGAAAATTATTTGGAATTTTTAGATGGGACTTTGAATAACTGGTATGTGGCAATAAATTCTGGTCCACAGTATACTTGAGAATACTGTGTGTCAATTAGGAAATTATGATAAAGACAATTTTCAGAGTCTTCTTAGATGGGTGAGCTAGTCTTCTGTTGACATAACAGTAAATTTTGAGATCTCACTTTCTCCAATAAAGTTTGTTTATGTGACTGTATAAATGTAAAGAGTGTAAGAAATGTAAGGAATGCCTTCAGCTTAACATCCATATACAGTCCAGGTAATTCCAGCACAGAAGGATACAACAGGAACAAATAACTGCGCAGGCAGGGACAACAATTATGAAACCTCAGAATTGCTCGAGTTTGAAAAGACATGACTATGATAAAAGATCTGTGAATACTATAGTGAAAGGTGATAGAAAATGATTATTCTGTGTTTCTTACAATGGCAGAATTAGAGGGATTTTGATGAGGTTAGAGGCAGCAGAATAAAAACAAGTAATGCAAGAGAAAGTACTTTTTTTTCATGAAGTGTGTAATCAATTGTGGCTCTGAGTGCCAACAGAACATTTAAGAGACTAAAATAGGAACAATTAGAAAAGCTGATGGAGGGTAGCTTCATCAGCTGATTGGAAACATGTTGAACTGCATGCCGTTGTCAACTCAGGAATCTGGGAAAGTGTCCCAGCCAGGGGTCTCGTAATACTTTCTAATCCTCTTTGTGTAGCTTTCCTATGGATGCTGTTGCAGGCAAGTCACTGCATAGATGGACCTCCCAAAAAAAAAGTCTGGGTTTATATTTTTATCTGGGAGACATTAAAAGAAGAGAGTCCAGGATGATCTGCAGGCTGGGGGAAGAATGAGAGGAAAAGAAATTGAAAATCAGACCAGCATCAGGGGGAGATCATGTAATGCACAGGAAACTTGTTGTTAATATACATACTTGCTGTTAATATACAGAGTTGGTCTGGGGGGAAAGAGGTGGACTGTCTTCTGGTAGCAAACATGCAAGGTAAGGATTATAGACTGAAAAGGATATTGACTGGAACAGGAATGACCACCTGGCAGTTCTTCTCTAGAGGACAAATCAAAAAGGAAGATCTCTACTGAAAAGTCTCAGCCCAAAAAAGTTTCATGTGAACTTTCACAGCAGTTTCCCTATTCCTAGGGAAAGGAAAAGAATATGTGGACCAAGGAAATAAAAGAAGACCCAACAATGGGCCGAGATCATGTTACGAGAAAGACTTGAAGATCTTTCATCATCCTGATGGGAAAAACACTCCATTGTGTGTTAAGTCTACCAGAATACCAGGATCACAGGCATGGTGGGATGAGACATCATCAATAACAGCTTTAAGCAAAAAGAATTGTCAAGTTTTCTTACATGTAATATTCCTCCTTGAGTTCAGTACAGAGGTAGAGAAAAATAGGTTACAGTACTGAATAAAGAACCTATTCTTGTAGGTCTGCACGCTGTATGTATGAGCAGATCACATACTTTAATTCTGTTTTGCTAACCTCCTAAGATGTAGGCATGTGTGAGATGCACAGGCAAAGTGGAACAGAAACTGAAGCTGAGGACCACTTTGATTCAGTACTTTCATTAAAGACCTTAGTGCAGAGGAAAACATATATCTGTTGATGGTACAAAACAGGGAGTTATCAACACAACAAGAACTAAGTGAAATACGGGAAGAAAGGAACAGCCTTCAGGCTACATAAAATAGAAGTAGGATGAAAGGATAAGCAATGTCTGCCAGGATTAATTGCAGGTATTCCTGTAATAACTGAAAACTCATAATTTAGAAATGACAGTAGAAGAAAAAGAGATAGAAGGGTATTGACCAAGAAGTGTATGATTATACCCTCTAATGTCATCTGAAAAAAACCAAATGTAACCATGAGAGAACTGTTTCTGATAGATACAAAGAAATATCAATGTCATTGCATAAGGTTCTTAGGGGATCATATCTGGAATATTGTATGTAACTCTAACTATTTGAATGCACAAAGGTACTGTTTTCTTGTGACTAACACAAAGGTAAAACCTAAGGAAAGTATAATTATTTAATTAACCTGTTTCTTTTCCCATGGACTATACATCTTTCAAAGGGCATACACATAAAACATTTTAAGTGTTCCTGATATAAAAGTATGTCTTTGGGTAGAGAACATAGTCCATCAAAAGTGTTCAAAGCGCTCACATTGCTCCGTGCTCAGCAGGTTAAGGAGGCACAAAGTGATGCAGCTTAATACAGCCAAGAGACAGAGGAGGCTGAGTTACCAACTGGTGTATCTCTTGACTGATCCAAGTTGTGGTCTTTAGTTTTTCCTGCTTTATGCGGGGCTAAAATGAACAGGTGAAGGGTCTTCAGCCATTACCTGTGCTCCTGATTTGTCTCAAAAATGCGGGAAATGAAGTTATACACCAATTTTTCTTCAAGGCACCTTGGTTCAGCTTCCTAAACACAGACTTCTTCTGCATTTGAGGTGCCCTAGTTCACCTTGTTTGGCCTCTAGCTCCTATATAGTCAAAGATCTTTTGTAGATCCTGGACCATATTTACCAATGTCACATTGATCTCTTAGATGCCATAAAACAGCACTGTATGCAGGCAGCTGAATTAATTACATGATACTGAGTTGATAATTGATTTCTCAGATAAAACTATCACACCGTTTGAAGGAAAAACTAGCAAACCAGACTAAGATCACAGGGCCTTCTTCTATCAGTGTATATGATTTCTTTTACTAGCATACATTCACGACTGATAAAATAAAGCTTTGCATGTGTTCCAGATATATATTAGTAAAGTTTCAATAATATGTTTGACATAGTAATATAATGATTTGAATACTTTTATGAGCAAGTAAAGCAGAACTAGGATTCGGTTTATTTAACTTGTATTTTAAAATATCTCTTAAAGTCCATTGAAATAGACATCTTCATCATGGCTAGGCTTCACTAATGAAGATTTGAGAAGATTTGCATTTTTTCTGCCTTCTCATTTATTTCTGTAAATACTTGTCCCTTGCTCAGTCTGCTAATTCTTTTACAATATGCCTTATTGTAAATGCTTTCAGAAAAATCATTTTAATCCTACAGTGCACAAATCCAGATAGACTGCTTGTCCTATGGTGGCACTGAAAGAACAAATCCTGCTTTTATTTCAGCTGTCTGTCCAGACCTGACAGTTTATTACACTTTGCAGTGGTATGGGAAGCCGAGTGTAATGCTCTTCAACCAAAACAGCTCTTGATTGTGTTATTGGCAATCTACAATTCCCTGTCACAAAGTCCTGTGATTGGCAGGAGGTGGCTGCTCAGCTCTGAGTTTCATAAACCTTAGATGGTCCCTCCACAGCGACAGCAGCCTGGCAATGTGTCAGGTAAGAGATAGACCTTTTGTCACACACCTGAGTCGTTACAGGGCAGGTCATACAGGTTGTTATTGATATAATTTCCTTGTTCCAATACACCCATAAATACTTCTTCCCAGTTTTAGGACTGAATGTTGCATCTTTCTTTCTTTCTTTCTTTACTCTTTCTTTCCTTTTAGGTACCTGCCTTGGGAAATGCTAACCTGGATATGACAAAATGCTTAGCTTCATTTCTCACCTATTTTTTATGAGTACTGGATGCATTTGCAGTTTCTGACTAGTCCAGTTTTTTCAGGTCTGAAGATGTCTGAAGAGGAGAAGTTGATTAGATTTTTTTCATTTGCATTACTAAGCCCTCTATTATCAGAATTCTAAGATCTTGTGCTAGTTATCTTAGCCTTTAATAGATTCTTTGTCCAAGTGGATTCAGAGCTTCTCCACCTCTCCTACTAATGCACAGAAGATTAAAAAATCCTCAATGCACTGGGAAAATGTTCTTCTTCATGAGAGGAAGCAGAGGGGCAGGCACTGATTTCTAATCTCTGATGACCAGTGACACAGTACCTAAGAGAATGGCATGAAGCTGTGTCAGGGGAGGTTTAGATTAGACATTAGGAACAGGCTCTTCATCCAGAGAGTGGCTAGGCACTGGAACAGGCTCCCCAGGGAAG